CATATTTCTAAGCATTTGTGTGGTTCGCTTTGTCCCTTTGTTGCTAGGGACGTTTCTTGGATAATAAAAAATTACCCAAAATAAGGGTCTGCTTAGTTAATCAGCGGCAACCGGTACAACCGCCTATGAGTGGGAGGCGAACGTACCGGCGACTGACTAACCATGCCGACCCTACTGTAGGTCATTTTTAAACTCAAAGAAAACGGACTGGCGATTTCCGGTAAAGAACTGCATTTATATCGAATTAATCACGATCAAAAGTGAAACTGACTGAAACCCGACAAGAAGTCCGCCATCGGGGTGCTGATGGAGTGCGTGGTGGCGGGAGTCGACGACAGACAATGGAAGACTACTGTAGTACATTCAAAAACTAGTAACATGTTTTTTTTTCAATGTATGTGTCTTAACGGGCGAAATAATATACGATAGAAATTACATAACATCGGAGTTCTTGAAATTATTAACGGCGAAATAATATACGATAGAAATTACACAACATCGAAGTTTTTGAAATTATTAACGGCGAAATAATATACGATAGAAATTACATAACATCGGAGTTCTTGAAATTATTAACGGCGAAATAATATACGATAGAAATTACACTACATCGGAGTTCTTGACAAATACTAACGGCGAAATAATAACGGTGAACAAATACTAGTAATTGTTTTTAATCTTCTCCACTGTTTATGTGCACGATGCCCAACAATGAACATAATTTCATTTTGATTATGGCAAACCATACTCTAGCACCAGCCTTAGCCGTCTTCCTAAAAAACAGCTATGGAACAAAACAACAACACCTGTCAGTGTATTAGGCTACATTTTGTGTTCATTCTATTTTCTGTATTCACCATTGGCTGCAAATTGTCTTTATTGTTTTTGATTTGTTTTATTTTTTAAGAAAAGTTTTTATTTTTTGTTTTCTTTTTTAGATTGTATTTTTTTTATTTCTTTCTGTAAGACCCTTTTTATCCTTTCCTAAGGATTTTATGCGTCTAATAAAAAAATATATGCAATATGCGTATTGTTTTCCTTGTTTGGGCCAAATAACATATAGACGAATGAAGGCGTGATTTCGGCACGAGCCGATTCGGGCCTAAGCGGATCCCCAAAAACGTGAACGTAACTGCTATAATCCCTCTACAAACACGAAGAATTAAAAATGTCGGCACGTTCCGAGATCCCGTAACGTGAACGTACCAAGTGAGATTTATACACAGGAAATGATACGGACAATAGTTGTACAAATATAGATTGGGGAGAATCCATTCTTGGAGAACATGTTGACATATATACTTACTGATGGATTGAACTGCTGTTGTTCAAATGTCTGTTAAATATTTTGTGTTCAGTCTGTACTTAATATTTATCAAAAATCACGTGTACGTGTGCATTTTTTTGTACGTTGTGAACGGAGGATTAACATTATCCCCAAGGCCGTCGCCTTTAAAAAACAGATTCGTTTCATTAAATAAGCTTGGCCCCAAACTCATGATCTTTTGTGATATCTGTAAATAGAATATGACAAATGCTTATCATAAGTGAACGTGACACCACTAGCGGTAACTGACAAAGGAAGACCGGTTGCTGACGCCACACACTCTTACCAGTATAAACATGCTAGCGTGGTGCTTTGTCGCAGGAACAATGAAAGTCTTATAATGCGTCACTCTCTCGACAACGAGTACTAGTAATGGAAAGATCACACGTAGAACAAAAAAAAATAACACTGCGTTTAGTTATGAATAGAACAGATTATCACACCAGCAAGTTCAAATATTTACACATAGAACAATAACTTACGTTGTATATAGTTCTGAACGCATTTCATTATCACGGCGGCAAGAGCAATTACTCGTAGGTTGCACGGTAGTTTACTCTGCTGATTTCCTACTCTGCTTGTAGTATACAAGTGTATGAAAACGGAGTAAATTCTCTGATACAACATTCATGATTACTAGACAGTTTCATATCGTGGATAAGCTGTCCAAAGCTTCACGTTCGTCCACCCAATCGGCCTCATGCCGATCATGAAAAATACGAAATAAGCTTAGTCTATGCAACGCTGTATACTAATAATTGCGTATCCCTATTGGGATTTTGACTAAAATGCAATACAGATGTGGATAAAAACAAACAATTAAAATGAGAATAAAAATACACACAATCAAACAAGCAAATAAAAGTAGGAAAAAAAATGAATGGTAAAGTAATTTGGAAACTTTTCCATATTTGTGTTGGTGACTGTTTGGTTTACTAACGCATGTACATGATCTTATCTTGAGTTAGCTGACTAATTGTTTTCAAGTTTACCTCTCTTGTTTTGAAACAGTTTTCTTTGTATTTTGCTATTTCTATTGTTGTTTTTGCATCTTTATTATTTAAAAAAATATATGTATGTGTTAATGTGTTTATTGAACATTGAAGTCTATTCCCTACTTGAATTCGGATTGGTCACAAGAGATCCCGGCACCACAATACGTACAAGAGAACCCGGCACCAAACGTGGTGTGGATTTACTATTGTTCAAGGTGTCAGCGTTTGAACCTGCCGACTTGGTAATGTGTGACTTGCACAAGTATTGCGCTATTTTACCATTGTAGGAGGCGTCAGTATTTGAACCTGCCGGTTCGGTAATGTGTAGCATTCATATTTTGATATTTTTTTATTAGACGCATAAAATCCTTAGGAAAGGATAAAAAGGGTTTTACAGAAAGAAATTAAAAAAAAAAACACAAAAAACTACAATGTAAAAAATAAAACAAAAAATAAAAACTTTTCTAAAAAAAAAAAAAAAAACAAGTCAAAAACAAAAAAATACAATTTGCAGCCAATGGTGAATACAGAATATAGAATGAACACAAAATGTGGCCTAATACACTGATAGTTGTTGCTGTTTTGTTCCATAGCTGTTTTTTAAGAAGACAGCTAA